GAACGGCCGCTGGGCAGTTGAGCTTGGGCCTGCTGTCAGTGAAGGTCATTTTCCTTACACTGCCTCTGTCTGCTTTCTGAGGGCTTCAGCTGACCCTTAGCTCTGAGCCTACTTTGGTGATGGCCCAATGTGGGGCTAAAACAAGCTAAAAGCACTTAGTAATGCCAAGCTTTTGCTAGAGATGTTAAATTATCACTAGTAAAAAGTATGGCTAGCGATGGCTATTCTTTTCACATTTCGGTTGGCTCCCTACACTATGCACGTGTCATGGGATTTTTGTGGGAACATCTCATGTGACTAGTTACTTGATGTAACATCATTTTAATCATGTGACTAGCTGTTATGGGGTTTTGGTAGGAAGATGTCGTGTTACTTGCTGTTACTTGAAGTTACATGATTTTAGTCACATGACTAGTTATGCAGTTTATGGTGGAAACTTGTCACGTGACTTTTATGTAATGTGGTTTCAGTCAAATGACTAGCTGTTATGTGTTTTTTTTTCAGGAACATGTCACATGACTAGTTTTGTGATGTTAGCGATTTTAGTCATGTGACTAGTTACGAGATGGTATATGATTTTAATCACATGACTGGTTGCTACGTGGCTTATAGCAGAAACATGCCATGTGACTAGCTGTTACACAGTGTTGTATGATGTCAGTATCATGAATAGTTGAGACGTGATGTTACGTGATTTTTAGTCACATGACTTGTTACATTATGTTAAATCAATTTTAATCCGGCAACTAGTTGTGATGTCATGTTATGTGATTTTAAGTCTTGGGACTTTTACATGATGTTGCTTGATTTTCACTCACGTGAGTAGTTGTTATGTAATGTTACGTGAGTTTAAATCCAGCGAGTGTTATATAATTTTATGCTATGTCTAGTCAAGTGACTAGTTGTAACTTGTTATGTGATCCTACATCATTTTAGTCACTTGACTAGTTGGTGATGTATTATTCTTAGTCCTGTGAGTAGTTACGTGATTTTAGTACCATGATCAGTTACATGATTTTCAGTCATCTAATAGACTTGCCCATCATGGTAATTGCATTCTATGCCAGATAAATTGGCGCACTTGTTGTGGGTGTGAAGCAAAAGTTGAAGAGGACAAAGTGAGTGTGTACTAACTAGTTCATGATGATAGTTACTGTTTGCACTACTGGCACAATGAAAAGCTTATAGAGCTCTTCTCTTAAAATATTTGTTTAATGCTTAGTAATGAAAGAAGTACTTGTTGTAAGCACACATGACCACTACTGATGTCTGGTTCGTAAGATTTTTCTTTAACTGTTTGTTTTCTTATAAATTATTGGTAAAGTTAGCTGGGTCGCCCTGTAGGCTGCTGTCAGGAGTGCCAGCTAGGTGTTAAGGCAAAGTCATGAATAATGAAATGAATGTACGAAAAAAAAACAAATGTGAAAGGAGAAACGTTGGTGGTAGCGAGTTTCAAATGTATGGCCACACGCTGAGCAGCAGAGTGTCTTAGCCATTGGGAGAAATACCAACGCGTACAAATTGAATATCTGAACTGTGTGAATGTGTTGTACGGGTGGAAATGCAGCAAGACACTGATAAATGCAAGAAAGAATGTCAAACATGGCATTTCGAAACTACTTGACAATGCTGTGCAGAGCTGGCAACTACAGCAAGATAGTTACAAACGTAAGAAATAAGAGGAATGGCTCCACATTGATGCCACTCGACAGTGACGTTCCTAAGAAGGTTGCATAGCAGAACAAGCAGGGTAAATACAAGTGCATTAGTCGTGTTACTAATGTATTATACTTGATGTCATTATACTGAGGTATTATACTTGATGAATTGTACTAAAGCATTGTACTTGACATCATCAGGAACAAATATCACATCATTTTACTTCAAAGAGCAACATACAATGACAAAACAGTAGGCAATCAGCAGCAGATGCTTACGCATAGCTTAAACAACTCCCAGAAAAGATCTCTCATGAAAATTTTTTATTGCAGTAGCAACTATAGGGACACTTTGTGAATTATGCAATATGTCCACAATTCAGGGTAGCACGTGCCTGTCTAAAATCAGTGAGTGGTGGCTACACTAGCTCTCTGAGCAGCTATTTTGGCAGGCATTCCTTGCACACTACCTTGCTGTGGCAGGCGCATAATCAGTGTGGCTCTGTGTGCTATTTTCCTCTATGGGGCTCCCTCAGCACCACACAATTGTTGACTACCTGGAAGATGCTGCTATGGTGGTACAAAGGGGTGGTATGTGACAAATGCCTTATCTACGCTGCGTGAGAGAACCGTGCGTAATACAGTGAAAATATTGGCCACTGCTGGGGGTGCTGCCGCGTTCAAAGGTTCCATGCTTGTGATAGACAGTACTTTTGCCAGCTTGCTGAGACACTTCACCTTTGCTCATTGAGTAGTCATTTGCAAGATTTGTCATGTTGGGGCGGTGGGCTGCCGCATAAGGCAATGGCTCTTGTAGCAGTCTTTTCCTCTTTCCACATGAGGAAAAAAATCAATACCTGGGATGTTCTGTGTGAAAAAATGGATATTAGAATGTTTACTTCTGTAGATGAGAAGGTCTAGATTGTGTGAGCAAAACTTGTCTACAGCACTGTATTCACAGTTTTAAAAGTGGCTTTGAATTTAATGAAGCCGTGTTCAATGCTTTTGCTCCAAGAACTAAAAAAAGATGGACATGAGTCTACATATGTGCTTCTCAAGAGTCTGAAATCAAAGGCAAGATTACCAAAAACACTAACAGCAGCATTTGATGTTGAGAAAATGCGGGTCATCTGATCTTTTTCTGAATGTGATGAAGAAGTATGTGATGTCAAGTGTTTGATGAATAAACATGTTACAATTCCTCTTGCGTGCATTTAATGTCCTTATAAAGTCAAAAGTTAGAGAAGGCATTGATGGTGGGATAGAAAAGAAGCCAAACATGATAAATGAAGATTTTCACTGCATCAAGAGCCCCCTCTCCTTAGCTACAGCATTTCCATTTCCACTCGTCAGTAAGTTCCCCAGGCAAAAGGGATTGTAGTTTAAAAATATAAGTTGTAGAATAAATATATAAGTGCTTTGAACATTTCACACTAAACAAAACTTTTAAAAGACAGAGAAGAAGAAAAATGCTAAGACTCCCTATGTGTGAGACAGAATAGAAAATGAGTGGAACAGACACGGGAAAGAAAAATACACACCCAAATGCTGCAACCCGCAACTCACTATGAAACAAAAAGACATTTTTGGCAGCTCACGCTTCTGTGAGGCAAGATGTACTTCTATGTAACTGCGCATTTTACCGATGCTGTTGCTGACGATGATGATGAATTGTGGCTCTTCGCAATGGGTGAGCAGCTCTTAACTGCCCACTTGTTGCACAACTCACACAATTTGACACTTGGCGCAATTCTGTGCTTCTGCCACATAGCTGTAAACATGACTCCTCGCCTGAAATGACACCTCTCTTTGGTCTTTTTCCAAAGCAGTCTCACACGCTGGCATTGGCTCTGTAGAGGAATACTTGACTGCCGTGCAGAATACTTGGGCTCAATTCTAGCTCAAAAACCTGATTTTTATTCTTTGCATTCATTGGGATTTTTCACTCACAGACCATGCCACCACCATTACCGAATTCTCTGCGACGCAGACCATCGCAGCAAAACGCTATTGAATTGAAAGCCAAAGCACTATAAACACAGCCTTACTGTGCACACATGCAAAGGGGTAAATTGAAATAAAGTTGGTGAAACCTGTCAAGGCTAGCCGATGGCTTATAAACATCTAATTATCTGAAGCTAAATGTCACACGTCAGTTGCGTCTAAATTATAAGAATTTTATGATTTTTCATTATGTTAAGTAACACCACTTGGAATTTCCAATATGTGCTCTTCAGTGTATAAATTATTAATTTACTTTTAAAGTGCTTGCACGGACACAGCACATAAGTAATTATATTGAAAAAGGTGAAAGTAGTGCCTCGCACTTAAACACTGTACAGTTTACTGCCACTGTCACAGGCATCTTTGGCACAGGCAGGTAGCTGCCATCTTTCATGTAGCCCTCTGTTCTTGCCTGCACACCACCCCCCCTCTAGCCACCATAATGCTGTAATAGCTGCTTGCCGTTCAGTGGTGTAAGCAGTAGTGTCGCCTGGTGAAGTCCGGCTATGGGTGTAAGATTCAAACCCTAGGTTTCAGTGTTGCACACTCTGTGAGCCTGGATTCATCTTGCCGAAGTTCTAAGGCTAATCACACTTTTCAATATCCAAAAGTGGTTTTGTAGAGGCGCTTAAATTTCCCCTTTATAAAAAAATTGATAGCTAATATTTAAATGGTAATTGTTTGATAGCAAAAAGATTAGTGATAAATTTTCTTGTATTATTTATTATCCCATTGCTGCCACTGCTGATGGCATGTGTTTGTTGTGTCCAGCTTTTTATTTCAGGACAGCTGTTGTTAGAACCTTTCTTCTAGATCTTCGTTGATGCGTTTGGTATAAAATGCAGCCATCCAAAGTGTCAGAAGGCTGTGGCAATGTGTGTGATAGATAACCTTTTTTTTCTTTTTCAACTTTATTACCCTATTGAGATTGGTAGTGGTGACAATATGAATGCAAAGATAGCAGCCAATGATGTGTAACCATGAATCTGTAAGCCCCGCCGCGGTGGTCTAGTGGCTAAAGTACTCGGCTGCTGACCCGCCGGTCGCGGGATCGAATCCTGGCAGCAGCAGCTGCATTTAGGATGGAGGCGAAAACCTTGTAGGCACGTGTGCTCAGATTTGGGCGCACGTTAAAGAACCCCATGTGGTCAAAATTTCCGCAGCCCTCCATTACAGGGTCTCTCATAATCATATGGTGGTTTTGGGATGTAAAACCCCACATATCAATCATGAATCTGTCACATTTTTTGCATAGAGATGTCAGTTTTTCTGTTGATGTGTTATCCACACATTAAGATTGCCATCAACTGACTGTGATTTTCCTGGTTATTACTGCAGCAAGTGGAGAGAGAGGCAACATTCCAGTATCAGACGGTGACTTTGCCTGAAGAGAGGGCAGCAGGCTGTTTATACATCAATGGGCGCTTGCTGCACAGGCATGAGTTTCCAGCTGCTAATCAGGTAAGGTAGTAGCTTCGTAATAGTTTGTGCGTCATGTCGGTAGTGTTTCATTGTCTGTTATACCTTATTCGATAAACTCTGTATGGCTGAAGGCAGCAGGTACCACTCATGTGCTTGTTAATTAGCTTTGGCTACTGGTCTGCCTAAGTGTGTTTTTCCGCACAGTTCTCTTAACTCAGATTTTCGCATGAAATATTACAGTGCACTTCTCACTACTCCAAGAAAGTATCAAGGCTTTAAATGAATGCGGGAAGGAGCTTCCAATTTTTTGTTTCTGTTATGTGTAGTGAAGTTGTAAGATGTCTGAAACATGTTGTCAGAAATAAAATGAAGTTAAAAAATAAAAACAAGCTACAATGCAATTGGTACGTGTGTTGCAAACATCATATGGTCATGAAGTAGAAGAAATGTTGCTGTAGTAAAAATTATCATTTAATTTAGTTGCAAACACATTCAAGCTACTCTTTAGACATCAAGTGGAATCCCTGACTTCTGGATGTAAATAAATGCAAACATATTTCCTTTTATTTTTTTATATGGTGCATGTCACAGTTTGTCACTTTTTAGTTTTTATTGCTATAGCAATTATTTGGACACCCTCAGATGGATTTCGACGTTGGTAACCATCGTCATTCACTGTATATGTATACGTATCTATACATATGTAAACACAAGAGAAAAAAATAATCCAGAAAAATATTTCGGCACGTGGAATTGAACGTCCAATCTATTGCTTGTGAGTGCGTGGTTTTAGCCCCTGAGCCATGAAGGAGCACCTCCTTCAATGTTGAAACGGCAAGCTATTTATATCTATCACAACTGGTGACCCGGGGGGGGGGGGGGGGGACTATTGTGTTTTTAGCATTACCAGCGAGATGGCGCTATGAGTGTGCATTGCCAGATCAGCCCGACACGCACTGTATGTTGATCTCTCACGCGTACTTTGGCCCGTGGAGGGTGGGGGTGGGGGTAGATGCTCATGCGTGCGTGCTCTTATCTTGCGGTATAGAGAATTGTACGCTTTGGGCTTTTATCGGAATGATTCTGTTGTAGTTACCGGGCGCGCAAAGTTCACTGCACTCACTGCACAGTCTCCGTTTGCAAAAAGGGCGCGCTTTTCAGACACAGCTAAGTAACAACTGAGACACTTATTGGTGTAGTGTCGTTGACATCACACTAATGACAAATGGGTGAAAATCATGACACCACCTTGTCTCACTTCATCATTTTTCACCCTGAAACAAAAGTGTGCAGTGAAAAAGTAAGGCTGGTTTCGATGTGGAGAGACGTTATAATATGTCATGTAAAAATTTTGATGACAGAACTATATTGGGGACCCCTGTAACTGTTTGAGACAGAAATGATGCGATACTCTATTGTATAAAGTCTTCCATCATGTAATGAGTGAAACGAATGCTTAAATTAGAAATAGATTTATATTTCTGGAGGGGTATTCTTGTGGTTTGCTGCTTTTGGTATATATTATTCTAACACTTATAGTATCCTTTTCAGAGTATGTGCTGTTATGCAGCGTGTGTCTAAAATGTTTTATGAATGGCCCCATATGTTAAAAACCACTCTGGTTAGGATTAGGTGCCCGTGCATATGCACTCAAAGACATGTGAACATGTGCCCCCGACCGTACAAATCATTAATGTCCTCGATTGATCCCCCTTTTATGTTGAAATTGAAGCAGTAGTGCTCGTTGCAACTATGTCATTTCAATATAAAGTGCAAGATCGAGCAACATGTAAACATGAACATTGCATCAAGTTTGGCAAAATGGTGATGGAGACTTATGAAATGTTAATGCAAGTGTCCAGTGTTGAAGTAGTGAGTAAAAAGAGTGTGTTTGAATGGTTTAAACCCTTTAAAGACGGAAAGCAACGTGTCAGAGAGAGATTGTGGATGATAGCCAACAATGCATGATGATGGTGCTCTGAGCAATGCCACAAGAAGCATTGTATGGCAGTTTTCAACAACTTTACAACGACTGTCAGAATTGTGTTGAAGTGAAAGGCAGTACACATATTTTGATTGTAACTCTTGTTTGCTTTATTTTCTGATATTAGTACTCGCCAAACTTTTCAGGTTCACACTACATTTGGAAATTTATTATTATTACTGATTACATTCCTACTCTTACTGCTTTGTAAAGATGTCTGCTTAATTTTGTTCTACGGAAAATGATGTAAATACATTAAATTTATAAAGTGGCAGCAGCAGGCACAGGTCTGAGTTGACTGGCAGAACATGGGAGAGGCTTTTGTCCTGCAGTGGGCGTAGTCAGGCTGAGGATAATGATGATGATGATACTAAATTTGCTTCTTTCTTTCTTCAAATTTTGAGCATATATGAGGAGTGTTCTAATGGAAAGGTATGAGACATGTTAAGAATATGGCCATTAACGTAGTGCCTATGCCACTATGGGAGAACATAGCAAGACATCTAATAATGTGATTGGAGTCTCTGCCATGGATCGGAGCTTGCGGGGGTGTCTGAATGTGCAGGAATGAGCAAAGGCTCTTATACAGAGTACTGCTCATATACATGAATGGGCAGCATAAACAGATAATGTAGGGCCGGTTGGTACATGAATAATGAAGTGAAAAACAGTGCGAAACACAAGACAGTGAAAGAAACGGACGAAGCGCTTCGTCCGTCTCTTTCACTGTCTTGTGTTTCGCGTTGTTTTTTGCTTTGTTGAAAGTTTTTAACACATGACATTTACTATCTTGTACTTCAAAGCATGGTGCAAAATGTGCAGTTCTCTAAGAACACAAGCACAGAGCAACCATTATATGTGAGGCCAAGTGAGAAAGGCAAAGTTCCTACAGGCCTCAAGGTAACTCACAGCTTACAAAGATGTAAGGGCTATGTTCATTCTTGCTTTTTTGTGTGTGTAATAATTGCTGTGATCTAACATGCCACAATTACAATACGATCGAGGCACACTGGAGTGGGGGACTCCAGATTAATTTCGGCCTTATGGGGTACTTGAAAGTGCAATAGAATCTAAGTGCACAGTTGTTTTTTTTTTTATTTTACATTAATCAAAAGGTGGCTGCAGTGGTCGGAAATAAGACTGAAATTCACCAGTCTAACCTACCATGGCAGGTCTTTCTTTTTGGCTGTGTGTGCATTTGCATGAATTACCGTTCTCACTGCTTGTTGAAACCAACTTATGCATTCTTTTTACCAGGAGTTCGCCCAGAAGATTGACTATGGCCGTGTGACACTTTCGGTAACGGAACTAAGCAAAGCCAGCACAGGTCTTCCCAGCCTGGCCCTTTTGGTGCGAAAGAGCAGGCACCATTGAAACCATGACCACATCCAGCTTTTAAGCATTTGCACTCCCACTGTTTCATTTTGCCAACTCTGGTTAGGCACTGTTCAAACAAGTATTACATGCAGGCCATGTGTTACCAGTGCACAATATAATTGACAGCTAGATGTAGCGCAAAGAAAAAAAACTCTTGTTCCTTCCAAAGCATTTTTTTCAAGCTTTGTGTCAAAGTATCTGCTGCCCAACAACTGATTGGTACATAGAGGACTCATGCATCCCCAAAATTTTTTCACTTTTATAGTGAGTGCGCACATGCTTGCTGCTTATGAGTATAGCCACAAATGAGCATGGCAGTGTTGCAGTGGTGATCTCGTAGCCCCGTCCGGCTTTTTTTCTTGGTTGGAACTATGGATTTTGTCTTTGACAACTCTTTCTAAAGCATCAATGTTTTTTGTTTATGTTGTGAACAGCAAGCTACAATTTATGTGTTTGTCATGCTTTGTTTTGTCTTGAAAGATTTGGCCACACATACACGGCACTGGTGCTGCATTGTTGAACATTTAAAACTACGTCTTTAGCAGGTTCTGATTGTTCTAACTTTGATGGTCACATGTAGCATTTTTTTCTTCAGTGAGCATTATTTTCATACTGCTTCATGCTCAACTGTGTGCACATTGAACATTATACTATTAGCTAGAGATCGCTTATTATGCCTTGAGGCAACCTTGTTGATTTGTGATAATCTTCATTGGCTTTCATTATTGGTTGCAAAAATGTTTCTTTCTTTCCAGCATCCAGTAAGAGTAACAAAATTAAAGGTGTTCCTATAAATCTAAATGCAGGTACTAATACCATGCCGGAAATGATCAGTCACACATCCTCGTTAGCTTGTCTAGCCATTTTCATTCATTGCTGTTTATATTTTCTTCTTTCAGTCAGTCTCAATTTCATCAGCTTTCAAGAACAAATAACATTGCACTTACTGAGTGTCAGAGTGAATTTTCTGTGCCTTTCTTAAGTTTTTCACTCATTGTCCATTAGCATTAGATGGCAACAGATAGTGTCACACTGATTTAATGCTGTTGTAGATTTTGCTTGCGTTGCATAGTTCAAGGAGGTTCTGCACCTAGTAGTATTCCCTTACGGAATGTGTGCCTTGGAAGCTATACATCTGCTCATATATGTAGTTATAATTCATTGTTTGTTGCATCATTATACTCTCAGCAGCTTGTTTATACCAAGCACAAGGAGGTACTATAATAAAGCTTTGTCTGTGACAAAGCTTCGCTAAAACTTTACAATAAGCACTATGCTTCATTGTTGAAGGCTTTACATCTACGCACAAATGATTATGTCCAGAAAGAAAAAAAAGGAACCTTTGGTGTTGCATTGAAGAGCTAGAACTTGTGAAATTGTGCAGGGAAAAAAAAGTGTGTGCACTCTGTTTAAGGAGTTCCCTCTTGCTTATTCGTTTTGCTGTGAGTAGGTATGAGATGTGTGATTCAAGTGTGGCTTCAATAGGCCTTAAAGGGGCTTTGTAACACTTCTTGAACTTGGAAAATACTGCCAATTGGTAGTTGAGGCTCCTGTGCACGTGTGAGCCAAGTATTATAGCACTAGAGCACTGCATGTGGCAGGGAATTTGCAATTGCATTTGAAGGACATCTAGAGATTGCTCACACTTTTCTCAGGAGGTTATGTAAGCAAGGGACCCAACTGCGTCGTGAAAGGAAGAACACGAATATTGGCTCAATTAAGCATTATTATGCTGGATAGTTCTTGCGGCTGCCTCGGGCTGCCACCATGTGCCAGGGCTACACTCTGTAGTGTGCTATAATCACATGGTAGTGACACTAGCGCTCTCGTGATCACAGCAAAAGTGAGTAGATGCGTTCGCAGAAAAAAAAATACATATATGTGCGAAAACTCTGAAGGTCATGACTCGTCAATGTGGCTTCTTGCCCTTTGCTTGCCCCCCCCCCCCCCCCCCCCCCCCCCCGTTTTAGCTTTCAGTGTGCTCATCAAGACAAAATGATAGTGCAGCAAATTGTGCAGCAAATCCCAGTCACTCTGCTCATATTTGGTGCATTCGAAAAAGTTTTGAGGCAATCTATTCATGGGAAAATAAACTTCTATAGTGCAACATTCCAGTTATTAGTACTCTAAAAAGTGTTGCAAGGCCCCTTCAAAAAGGCATGTCGGTAACTGTGGTGGCACTGTGTTTACTAAGATACAGATATGTGTGGACTCTTGAGACATGTTCTTTAAAGCTCTTAAGGGTGGTTGCAACTAAAATGACTGCTAAAGGCTGCATTTTTCCCCTCTAGAGTGCTTACGTTATTTTTGCAGTCACAGTTTAAAATTTATCTAATGAATATTTATGCTATTTGAATGACTGATCTTTTTTGTGGCGACACTATACTGTCTGAAATACATATTTAAGCAGCTCTTGAAATTTGTGCTAGTAGTAAGCAACTAGAAGAAGCTTCTTATTCTGCGTAGCTGTCCAGATCCTCACTGTGCCGAAAATGTGCCGATTTTATGCACTTGCATTCTGTCGTGCCCAGTGCCTTGCAGAGCACGATAAGGAAGTAAGAGCCAAGCTATGTCTTGAGCTGCCATGCTGCTTGGGTGGTTATGTGGATGCATATTTAATGCCAGGAAAGCAGCACAATGTTTGCAGCATTCTTTGCATTGCATCGCAGTCTACTGAGTGTGGTCCTATCTGTATAGCATACACAACTTTCTTGATTAGAGCCATCCCAGACCAGGCCCCTGTGACACACTAGTTACTATTAAGCTTTCATTTTATAAGCCTTTGCTTAGGTAAACTGGCTTTGCAAACATCATTTTTGCCAAGTGTATCGTGCACAGAAGATCATGTCTTGAGACGATGTGGGAATGTGTGCCCTTCGAAATGCAGAAATTGGCTAGTGAAATAAATGCCTGTCACGATCTAAAGTCAGTATTACTTATCAAATGTTATTTGACCAGAATTGTTAGTATCTGTATGTTAGGGTGGCTATGGCCCCATCTCACTGCCGGTAAATGAGACTTCCAGCCAGAAGCTTTATTATGTCAAGTGATTGGCTAAAGCAGTTTTTTGACGGTTTTTAAGTCTAAAATGATCTACGGATTCTTACATATAACTTTGTTAAAACAATGTTTATAAACATTTCTGAATAAAGTGCTGCTCTGGCAATTCATGCGGCACCTAGCGGCAATATAGGGCAGCTGCATACTGAAGTCCAAACAGTCCAAGCGCCAGTCGTATACGGTTGGAGCATGATAGGATGGTGCCGCCTGTGAAAAAAAAACGAACGGCCAAGCAGATTTTTTTTCCAGGTGATGCACCAGTGTTAACTTGTTAACTCGAACCTATTAAATGACCATTTTATCCAGTGACTACATGTCGCTGCAGTGCCCGAAGTGTGTAAACAAATTTCGCAGAGATGCGGTGCGCCATCTGCATTACACACACAACGTGACCACTTTAAGAACGCCGCTTGCGCTTGCGGGACCACTGGTGCTGACTAAAATAAGATGCTCCGCATCAACAACCCACTCCCTTTCTACAAAGCAGCGCGAACTGCTGTCACACTGCAGAAAACTCAATATTTGTGTCAGCGACAGCAGACGCGACGACCTCCGTGAATCCACTATGCTGCAACACTGCAGCACCCTCTCATGTTCATTTAAGTTGTTAATACACTCTCCAGTCATCATTCCATATGTCCAGAATGTTTGTTGCTGCCTGCAGTAAAAAAAGTAATAATAATAATAATAATAACAACAATAAAAAACTTTTTATTAGCTATTACCCACTAGGTCCTTTAAATCTTAATTACTAGTCTTTACATTTGTAAGGTGGTTAATCTGCTGCTATCTTTTTTATCCTCAGCATTCGCTACGTAGCATAGAGGTTAGAAGAGCTTTGACTAAGTTCTGTCACGTCTTGCAATGAAGTACAGGCTGTGGGTATTGTATTGGTAGGGCAGATGGGGCAGTGGTAGATTTCACTTGATAGCTGATTGTCTACACTTGCTAGCATCATCAGTACATGTAAAGGTGTGGGTAAATGACATCTTGTCTGAGCTGGCTGTTGTTGGCTTTTGTTACATGAACATGAGGGTCCCATGGAAGCATGAAGGGTTCATTGCATCAAAAAGAAGATGTTAAATTATGTCATTAAACCGTAATAAATGTTGCATGGCCTTTGGTGCAGTTAAAATTAGAAAAATACAAAAAATCTGGTTCAGTTCGGGTTTATTACAGTACTAAACTTAAGCAGTATTTGTATAGAGACTTCAGTAAGCCAAAGGAGAATCATATTTGCTGCACAATAAATGGTAGTAATGCTTGCAGAATGTTTCTTACTGTTTTTATGTCACAGATAATTATTTCACCAACCAAGCCATAATTTTTCACTGCTGCGGAAAAATACAGCATTACATATTGGTCAGGAGAAGTAGAGCAGTAGTGTTTTCAGTGGTCATAATTACAGCTTTGTAAATTATATATTGAAGAAAAACAAAAGATGATGTATAATACATATATACATCATCGGACAGTATTTGTACTTAAAGCAATTCTATGGTTTTATGCTGCACAATGCAGACATTAATTTGAAATGATTATTGCACATGAAACAGCACAACGAGTCAAGAGCAGAGTCAGAAAAACAATTTCACCTTTGACCTAAGTGCTGTAAATACTCGGCACAGCCGTGTACAGTTCCAACTCAGTCTGAACTCAGTAACCATTTATTAAAGTACCACGAAAGAAAAAGGTGTCAGAGGGAAGTTTCGTAAAGGGCTGTTGAACATTTTCGTTGTGTGCAAACTATTTTAAATATGTTCTGCTATGGTTCTTTCAAGATGATCCTGTTGAAGTTAGCAGTTGATGTTTGCTCTGTCAACGTGTTACTGTATTGGTGTATTGCTTTGGTTCATTTATGTTTGCTGTGTCAATGTAGCTACTGTATTGGTGTATCGCTTTGGTTCATTTATGTTTGCTGAGTCAACGTAGTTACTGTATTGGTGTATCACTTGGTTCATTTTTGCTGCTATTGCCACATAAACATTCCAATCATTCTTTCTTGTTTGTAAATCCCTCTGCTAGTTTGTTTGTTTCCCAATTCAAGGAAAGGTTGTGGATAGTAATGTTCCTTGCTTTATTGTGATCATAAATCTGAGGCCTATGATATTTATGGTTCTGTGGTCCAGCTAGTCAGAGGTTTTGCTGACACTTATATGCTAGCATTGTCAAGCAGTGCTTTCTTGCAGCTGTTTTTCCTGTTACTTCTAGTGCGTCACTACAATAGTTGTTGTGTTCTTGTTACTATGTTACAGACTTTCACTGGTCCAAATGCACATTCTTTTTTTTTTTTTTTGGTTGATGGAATATTATGTGTTCATAGCATTTACACTTGTATCTCCTTACTATAGTAGCAGCTTTTTCAGCACAAGGCCTTTTACCAACTGCCAAGTGTCTGTTTCACCATTAGCATCAAAAGTAGAAAATTTGAGATTATTTCCTTAAATTCCACTACAGGTACAAACATCTATCACTTTAAAGTATCAGAAGACAGTGTAAATCACTATTGATTCAAGAACACTGTGCATATGTGATATACATATTACTGTCGCACAAGTTGTAGCATAGTGTTCTGCGAACACAGTTTGTCACCTGTTAACATTCTGATAACTTTTCATACATCCAGATGACACATGATTGTTAACAAAAAACAGAAGAGCAGGAGGAACATCATTGACAAAACAAACAGGAGTACCTTTTTACTGTTAACACTCTTGTTCTTGATTTTCTGGGCAGCTAATGAACAAGCAAATACAACATATGACCGTTTAAATAAGAAAATGATGAGTGCTAACACTCTCTGTGAAGATATACAGGTCACACCACTCCAAAAACAATTTTCGAATTTAATTCTCTTTAAATCAGTCTGACCAACTTGTGTGTCACCAACATCACTTTGAAACAGGGTCCACTTTACTAAGTCCTAGTATCCTCATTATTCCTTTTTACATACAAGGCTTATTCCATTTGTGTATTCACTATCTGCCCACACATTTATGTGTGCAGCTTGTTTGTTATGTGGATTATATTATTGTGATGTCTGGTAGCAGTCCAAATTTAATGTATGCATAACTTGCCCTTGATGCTCTGATGTGCCTGTAATGCAGCTTTTGTTTTCTGGGCATAGGTCTTGAAAAGAAAATATATCACTTGCACCCGTTTTTATCATATTGTTCTGATGTAAGCAGTGGTAGCAGCTTCCAAAATAAATGATGTTATTTTCAGTACAAATGGTTGATTATAAATCATCTTGGAGGCTGACATTGTTGCCTGTGTCACAAACAAATGGAAAGCACAATAAAATCATCACAATGATGCTTTAGGTTACTGATTGGGTACTGGCCAAATTTGGCTGAAGAAGTGCCTGAAGGTTCTGCACAGCTTCAAATTATGACAGATGAAGAAAGTGGGTTACTCACATGATGTCCAGTAACTTCTGACTCCAAGTGTGTCTGTGTGTATATCGGACTGGTACATAACCTACTATATGGAGTCAATTGTATGTACAAAATTATGTTCTTTTGTACTTTGTAATTGAACAATTGCTTTTTGACTTCATAACATTCACTCTAATTCAACTGCCTTTCTTCTGTACCCACTTACAACATGTAACCATTACTTTATTCGCGTACAAGCTCGTGACAGGAAATGCCACTTTTTATCATTTGTATTTGGCACAAACAACAGTAACACACCTGCAACGAGGAGTGAGTCAGCCTAATGAATGCACATTTTTTAACACGTCAGTGTTAAAGAGCTTGTTTCACAGAAATTTCAGTGCCGGTGTTGACGTTGTTGGTTGCGAGCGAAAAATCAGCATTATCTATACG